AACTGTACATTTGGAAAAGTGTTGAAACGGTTGATGTTCGGTTTTTCCAGTGTACATATGTACCAACTAAACTAAATTGTGACGTCGGTAAGCTGTCCACAAAATAAAGTGTATGAAGCTTCACAATGTTCTCCCTTGTTACCTAGGCTTCTGCTTTGCGACGTCATTGTTTTTGAACGTTAATGGTGTTATGCAGCTCAATGTTTTATCCATCTTGTGCGAATTCGAAAGACTCGTTTGAGCTTAACTCCATCGCCACGAAATGGACTGATTCTACTCCCAAGTATCAATAATAATTATATATATGTTGTCTATTGTTCTGCTCTAAGTTGTTGTTTTTTGCATGACCTTTGAATTGAATCATATAAACCTGCCGTCGTTATTAAGCTGCGATATGGTTGACAATGGCTTTAGGAACGATCTATGGTGGAGCCATGATCCCTTTGTGGAACTAGGTACAGCAGAACACAAGTAGTGTTTTATAGTGGGTAAATCTCAATACCACATCGCAATTAAATGCAAATAACAAAGTGGTTTTTCATAACTCATGACTCGTATAATAAATGAGCCTTGGACGAGTAAATCATAGTGGATGTCTAAAGGATACTATGAATGAACGATCGCTTGGTATAAAATACTTTACTGTCCGTTTGAAAAATGTGAGCTGGATGACATTGTCGTGGTGAAGACTTCATCCGACTTCCATGTGAAACTTGAATCTTTGTAATGTGGTAATAAACATTGCTATCAAGCAGTGAAAAATGCATTTGAGTGCAAACGTGATAATTATTGCTTAAAAGGATATAATGCTTTTATTGGTTTAAATGTTGAGTTGCGTGAAGATAATTAGATATGGTAATTGAGAAATGTATTTATCCCAGTGAGTTTCCGTGTTGGAATGGATGCCAATTGGTGATATTGTTTGTTGTTATCTTAAGGGAGCTCGGGACCTTGTAATACAAGATGATGACCTATTCTCTTGATATTTAGGAAAATATATAGTTGGCGTGGTTTTTAACCCTGTTATTAGCGTTATCACAAAAAGACAAACGACCTTTTATCCAAACGACCTCTCAAGAGTATACTCAGGGCAACATTAGATAAAACAACTGGAGGAATATAGCGTAATAATATTAGGTATGTGATAACTCCTTTACAGCGGGCGATTGGATTATATGTCTGCAAGTACTACTTAACGTGCCAATGTTTAGGAATTTACAGAATTAAAACAAGAGGGATTCACGTCCTCATTTAGCCAGTTCATAGTTCCATTATCAAAATGTATCACGTGATGTCATAGAGAGAACTACATCATGAACACTAAAATGAAATCACGCACTGTATGAGCACAAACGCCAATAATGCGAATTCCTGCAAGTAGTATACAGCATCCGACCGCGCAGTGCCTACTGAGTTATATCTTTTGGATAATTGTGTTATTTTGCAATTCTGGATTATCTTCCGTAGTCTTTCACAATACCTTTGGCTTTGTCTTACTTGCATGCATATTGTATATATATTAGAAATGCACATGATGCATGATATGCCTTTATACTGTCCTTATGTAGACATCAATATATTGTGTACATGACATGTCTATATAAAACGGTGTCTTGTGTGTCCATTCCAATTTTGTTTCATTGATCAGCATGCTACTATGAAAATGTCAGTCTTAATGACAGTGTCTTTTAAATGCATTCCGTTGTTTTCCGACTATTTTTCACTTGTACTTCCGTAATTGTAATAGTTTCAGAATGTAGACGTAACATTAAATTCCAATCACATTTCGTGTGCAGCAAACCCGTAAAGGTATTCTGTATAAACAATCCCAACTTCAGAGAACAGATGCCCCATGCCAGCAGCGTGCGAACAAGTCGTAAGTACGACCACCATTCCCCGTGCTGGATACCGTCTCCCTTTATCATGAAGATGAAGAAGATGATACAAAGTTATGAAGCGTGTCATCTCACGTCCTTGTCTTCATCGATTCACACAGGAGTTGCAGCTGTTTCCCTCCATGATTACCTAAGATCAAAGGCAAAATCGATAGTCTTTAGCTCTGAATAATTACATCAGGGCCATGCCAGGGTGGTATGAACCGCTTCCAAAAGTTTTCTTATTACATGTTCCCTAAAAGAACGTATTCTTCAGTTATAAAAACGGTTATTGCTCTTGATGTATATGTGTACAGTTGTCCTTGGAGGTGATTTATTTCTTTGAACATTATCCATTGCGATTTTATCACATTACAACGTCTTGGGAATCGTGTAGGATTACATGCTGTGCATTGTTGGAAATAACGTTTCCAGGAAGCATGAAACCCATTTTAGATATATTATCAGATATTCTGTTTGAAAGACAATTCCTGTGATATTCATTCCATCCATAGGGTATAGTATTGGAATAATTATGTGTCGCGATAGTAAATTCAAAAGATCAACGCCAGAGAATGAACATTCTCCAATATATGGCGAAACAGACCCCATTGGGCGTAACCGACAAAATAGTGATGGGATCACTGAAAATCGACGTTGACACAAGGCAACTTTTCCATCAGGTGCAAGACCATTTACACTAAAAGTAGAATTGGTCGTCTTAAAGTCGTTTGTTGGAAGGTAATGGGTAGATTCCTAAAGGTCAGCAGTTCACTCAACAATACTGAAACCCTTGCTGGTTATTTGCTTCGGGGAGTGACTTGAAGTAAGACATGAATGTATAACGTTTCGCGGGTTTTGGTCATACTTGATAATTCTCAGACGAGCGCTATCGGTGGGCCAGGAAATGCTAACCTTTTTATCGAACACATGGTAATCAGTGATGTGTGAGTTTAGTCTGCTGACTTTGTCGCTTCGCGTTTCTTGTACGTTGTTTCTGTATTTCCACGGAGACACAAATATGGATGCCTCTAAGGCATTGTTTTTTTTAATCATGATCTTATGATTTTTTAAAACGGTTACCAAATACATTATCACCTGAGTAGTAAAAACCACTTGCAGGGAGGGGTAAAATCATAAGGGACCTTGTGTAAGTGATGTTGAGCACTGTTCCAATAAATACCGGATTTTCGGTATTCCTCGGTGAGCAAATTAATTCATCTCGTGAGGAGTTATCAAAGTTACCGGTACGTGTTACAGCAGTGCATATATTCACATGCATGTAAAATGTGAATTATGACCATTTATATGCTGATGCTTCGAAGGCCATACGTCCGTAGATGTGTGCATTTACATTTTGCAAGGAGAGGAAGGAAAAAGTGATTTTCCATAAGTCAATATTTACACACCGTGTGGAATTGTCCGTTCCAGGCAGATGTAATTAGTCGAACGAAAATCGGTGTGATTTGACGTTATCAAGGGACTTCATTTCAAAACGGAAGAAGTCTTATGAAACACTGGTACAATCTTTTAATTGATTCTCATTACAGTTCATTGTCTTCATTGATTACATGCGTGTACGTTACTGTTCAAAACAATCATCCCCTCGATCGCAACGCAAGATAATCCCACCATGTTCGTAAATACTAATCAAAATAAACATTCTCTCAATGGCGACCGCGCCGCGACGATTTCGGGCCAGGGTCGAGATCACGGGACGTTTGTTTTGAACAGTACTGAGCTAGTTGTTTCAGTGGATAGTTCCTGCCTAAATTACACTGAGCGAGAATGTTTTTTAAAATCACCTACATTAAGCCTACTCAGTTACAGAAAACATAAAGGACGCAACGCACATGTCGTCGTTCTTGTACTATATGATTTTGAGAATCAGTTGATTGTCTGGTTTGTATACATGTCACCCTCGCATGGCAAGAGTACTGCTGTGTCGTCAGACAACAAACTTGTTTATGCAAATTGTGTGAGTGGCGGCTCTACCGGTAGGGCAGATCATGCTTACCCTTTTTCACCTTGTGTCGTCACTGATTTTAAATGATCCATTCATATACATTTCACCGCTGTTTTGACATTTTTGGAATTTGTTTCGTCGGATAATCGAGACTGGTTATTCTCTAGCGTTGACGTTTTATTTTTACTGTCGGTGACCTAGTTCATTTGATTTACTTTGTATTAAAAGGAATGTGTTTATGTATTCAGCAATTTATTCAGCAAACTATTGATAACAGGACCCGACCTTTACACACGGAATTCTTCTGGCTTAGCTGATATTACCGGATGATTATTGAAATCAAACGCCGTGTCTTTAGGATGATGTATATATAACATAAATATTCGATATTTGTATAATCATCATGAGCTGTCGTGCCTTTCATATAATGGTGACTGTGTTTAATGATTATGAACAAAATGACTGGCAGCCTCGTCGACAGTTTAAGCGCTTAAGTCGTAGCGTGCTACCGAAAGTGTCATTGGTGAAGAACACACTTTAAGCTTGTAAGTAGACAATAAGCTTTTATTGTTCTACAAGACAAGATGCTGATGATCACAAGAGTGTATTATTACAGTAGCTGCACATTGGACCTCAAGTCATCTAAAGCACCAGTGAAGGGCGGGGCATACGAGATAATATTTGTACAGAAATGCATAAATCGTTATTATCATAAACGCCACATCCGTTTGATCTCATAACTCGGTTCCGTTTGCAGATACTCAAGTATATATGTTAAGGCGTACTACAAACTGAATGGTCTCGGCGCGTGCTACCACAACAGCATCAATGTAGAATGTATCTCACAAGCATATCGACCATCGAGAACATATGCCATCCATTATGCATAAAATAACGTTTTATATGAACACATTATTACTAGAAATATAAACATAATTTCATCCATGTGTTACATGCTATACGTTCTGGCATGTATCATGTTGTAGGATAAATATGATAAATATCTCTTTTGTTCTTAACCATTGTAAGAGGAAGTGAACATTACGACTCTCTACTTTGGTATGTGAAACACTATGTTTATTTACAATTGCAGATAGTTAAACCCAAGCGTGATAAATGTCCTTTCTCAATGATGAAAACATGAATAGACATGGGACACATTTCAAGATTCGTCATCCATTCACTTTATTCACACTCCCAATGGACATGTGTCTGTTTTGTGTATTTCTGTCAAAAAATTACAAAGTTGTCAAAATCAGTTTTCTAATTTTTGGTTTACGACACATTTGTTGAATAATTTGTTCCCAACTATTTTCTTCACAGGGGTCATGTTGTTGGCTTCTGAATTACTTCATAGCTCATTTGTTTCAAGTTCAGATGTAGACACTACGCGAGAACCGTTGCTATTCGGACGGCGCACAAACAAATGGTATCGACAACCATAGGATGACATTTGTCGAAATATCCATGATCATTGGAATGAATATGAAAATATTATGTACTATCTTATATATAGATTTATCCAATTTCTTAGTCCATGAAATGTCCAGCATTGTAAACACTCCCAGCTCTTGATTGCTCTTTTACTGTCGATGACGTCATTCATTTGAAGATTTATTTCACTTTTCGGAGATTTGTTCTTCCAAAAATAGATCTGTCACATGATCTCCAAGGAGAGAAATCTCTTTTATTCATTGGATCTCTCGAACAGTTCGTTGTTGCCAACAAAACCATCATCTACGAAGAGAAATAAAGTGAGACATTAGTTATTTTGTGTATAAATATGTTTTTATCATATGTGGTATCGATACTATTTATATAAACATCTTAATACCATTAGTACGTGCTTTGTATTTCAGAGAGTTGTTACCGCCTATATATGGCAATGTTCGTATGTATATTAAATGGTGTCCCTTGAGAATACATGTATTTAGTGGGAAAAGTCTTTAAAGCGAAGTCGTGGCAATCATCGAGTTATTATTGTACTGTCTATATAACAAAGTCAAGGAACTGTGTTTAAACAGCATTGGCAGCAAATGTTTATATTTAGCCTAACCCCCGCTACTTTGATGTTTCCTTCACTTAACACCTACGCCAATTCGCTGTTTCCTCCACTTAACACATACGCCAATCGGCGTTTCCTCATATCTAACACCTGCGCCACGTCGGGTTTTACACCCATATTAAGCCCACAATTCGTGATATAACTGAAAGTTTGATAACAGACATTTGAGAATAAGAGTTAAATAACTCACCATCGACATCAACGAATTTGCGTATCAAGGCTTCTGCTAATGTTGGGTTGTTCGAGACCAGGTTTGCCAAATCTTCTACCGACAACAAATGTCTGAAAGAAATAATCAACACTTCACTGGTCCACACTTGTCGATGACACAAATACAGTGAACTCAGGATACAATGAACTGAAATTATATCTCGAATTAACTTGTCATGTCCCAAATTCGTTATTCACTTGAAATACTAAAATACTCAGCATTATCAGCGATTAGAGTTATTATTATATTCAGATAAATGAAACATTATCAACTTAGAAATAAATAAAATAGCATTAAAAATATAAAAAATGCACGTACATATACAATATACGTAAATCACATTTGGAAATACTTTGTTGTTAAATACAGAGTCCAACTGCACGATTCCAACTATATCATAATCATGTATTTCTGAATCACTATTAAATAGCAATGATACCAGGTTATCCTGACCGACGGGTGGCACCCGTCAAGCACACACGCAAGGGCAAGTCAATTGTCTGTCTAAAAAAATCATGGTACAAGTCAAAATAGGTAGTGGCATCATACATCATTTTGGCTACTGATGCTACAAATTGGAAATGTGCTCGTCATAACTACCACAAAGCTTCTTGAAAGCTTTACTATGAATGTGGTAATCTTGATCAAACAACTTTTGAGCAAGAGTCGTACCGCACGTTTTTTTAACCTTTTTCAGAATGGGCATGCTCAACTGTACATCAAAAGTTGTGAAATAGAGACATGAAAAGTTGAAGCTGCTGGAATACCACTTGACAAAAGGGAGAGATGAAGTCACCCCTCTTGTCATGCAGACATTTGTCACCCTGAATCACAGTGATTCGTAGAAATGACTACATTAATATGAAGGGTGCGTTTATTTAGTGTAATACCAGAGAGACATTAGCAAACGAGATAAAATGTCAGCATAAAAATGAAGAAAGCAAATACTTTGCTTAATTAAACTGTAATGCTTATTGGTTACATGTATCTTTGACTTTCAGATAATACCATATAGGTATTTTCAGTGTTGTTATTGTTATCAAAAGAAATTAAGAAAAAGATAAACGATGATTTCTGTTTTAAGTTAGCTTTAACCTTTATAAAGAGATGATGCCATTTAATTACATCTTCGGGTATGATCATTTTCAAACAAAATAGTGTAATAACAAACATTTAATGTTTCATTTGAAAGGTTAGCACAAAGTAAGGAAGGTGTTTTTCCCAAACGATATGTTCTGGAGCGTGTAAATTAGTTTCTTCGCATTCGTTAATATGTCAAGGAATGAAGTTCAAACGATAAAGAACATTAAAATTCTTTACATGCATTTAGAAATTGGCCTTAATCAGTACAAGTAGCTGAAGGATAACATCTTCCTAATTTTACATACACATTTCAGGGCTACGTGTTGCCCCTTCATTGGGTAAAACATATAAATGAAGCCAGTTATAATTAGATAAATATAAGTGAACCCAGTCGTGACAAGATAGAAGTTATAAAATGAAGATGAAATTAGTGGACATGGTAGTTGTTATAGGCAAGTGGGTACATGGCAAAGTGTCGTTTATACAATAGAATGATAAGTAGATTAAAAATTAAATGGGACATGCACCAATTGCACCAATGCCCTCGTATGTGCCATTCATCTGATGAAGGGGCAAGACGTCGCTCTGAAACGTCGTGTATGTACAATAAAGAAGTTGTTATTCATAACATTTTTTATACAATAAACACTTATAGTGATGTATACTTCACATGTGTGGGGAACACATACATCGTAGAACACAACAATAATATCCGCAAATACCTAAAGTCATTCAACACATCTGCTTTAAGAAAAATGTGGTTCAAAGCTATATGAAGAACTAATAGGTAACCACTCTAGCCATAGGCAAGGTGATATCAACTCTGTGTTCCATTGTTCCAACCTACTTTCAACCAATCTAGATGGTATGGTATGGTATGGTATGGTATGGTATGGTATGGTATGGTATGGTATGCTAAAAGATCAAAGGAGCCGACTGTACTTTATCCTGCGAGTTACGTCTAAATTGGCAGATGTCGAACCTAACTTAGGCTATGTTTATGTGCCAGCTCGGCCCCACAATGCACTAGTGGAATGTTTCGAGTCACGCAAATTATTCTAAAAACTGAAATTTAAAAATCCTTGTCATTGCTGAATGAGTTTATGCAGACTGAGATCTAATCTCTGAAATAAACATACTTTACAGATATTTAACAGTTGTTAAATTATAGTTTTAAAAATATAATAAAAAGAAGCCAAGAGACTTTTCAGTTTCAGATACTGTAGTCATCTAGACTTGCCAATTATTATAGACTTGCATTGGCTGTATTTGATATATTTGTTTCAGGGTCTGTATGACAGACAAGGGTTTATGGATAACCATACATGGGACGGATAAGGATAAGGAAATATGACAATATCAATGATAAACTACCCATATTAGCGGTGCTGTTTTGTGTTTCAAATGTCTCCCAACGTAATGGTACATGCAATGACGTTGAACAGTCAGTCAGTTCGAGGATTTACGGCACGTTTAGTACATATTTGATTTTGAACCTCCTATAAAACGCGTGATTAGTTTTATAAATACGGCATCTACGAAAAGTAATACCGGTTGCTCTACCCCCATGGTTAGTGTTATAAAATATAGTTTTGCCCTGAACTATTATAACGTCAATGCCTCCTCGTGCTTCGACTATAATAGTTCAGGGCAAAATTATACTTTATTACACTACACATGGGGGTAGAACCACCCTTATTATAGCCTAGCCTAGTCTAGTCTAGCCTAGCTTTGCCTAGCCTTGCCTAGCCTAGCCTAGCCTAGCCTAGCCTAGCCTAGCATAACACATTTACGAAACAAGAACTAAAGCACAATACATATCTGAAATACAGTTAGTATAATACCAATTTCATATTGGCACACACCGTTGCATTTCGAGAAAGCTTTGCCTTTACCAAAGTTAGAAATGAATTTGAATCCATTAAACCCCTGACATGGCACATACAACCACGCTGAATCACTGTGGGAATTGCTAACAGTGCTTACGAAATAACAAGTAACAAGCTGCCTATTCAGCCAGCGTGGATCCAATGTGCGATTACAAACGGTGCCTACCTCCGATTAACGTTAATGATTCCTTATTCCACACAAACAATGGCACAAATGGCAGCAACCGCGTCCATGACCGCAAATGATATCGACGCCACATCCTTATTCCAATGTTCATAAACAGAGTATGGCATTAGTATAGACACTATGCACCTTGAAAAAAATCCCCAGATGAGAAGAAATAAGAGCAGCCCTGACACTTAGACATCTGACAAGTTGTTTAAAGAAACAAAAATAACTGCTCAGTTTTATTATAACCTCGTCAAATTTTTAAGACACGTTTGAGTTTATTTAGTTTTTGAAGATCATGTATGAAACCGTACGTGTTACTTGCCCGAGGGCTAATAGGAAATATCTAGAACAAGTCTTGACGTAAATCAATCTTGTTCTACAGGGAATCATTTAACTAAGTGCAGGACTGTTCCTCTGTAAAGTATACTCATTTAACAAGGGAGCGTCCATTAGATAAGGACTTTTCAATTGCCGTCAGCACATAATGGCCAGTTATAAACGTGACCTTTGCAGGGTTAGTATTTGCGCGGAGAAAAAGCGCATATTCAGCAATCAGCTGTTGATGAATGTGTAAATTGCTTAGCACACCTCCCGTATTACTTTGATGAATGACTCAGGGTTGCTAGCCCACTTGCCGAAGCCCTGGGCTCATGGAATGGTAAATTGACCCTTTTCTTACTACGCTAGGAGCCCCTAACAATTCTAAAGATCTGATTGATGTTCCAATACTCGTCAAAATTCAGTCTTTCCTACGAAAACTACATTCATTTCTGTTGGGGTGAAATTCCTCACTTGACGTGTATTAGATTACTGCCTAGGGTTTTCTACTTCCCAATTAAACTGCCACCCAATTTAAATCGGAAACTTGCTAAACGTGAGAGTTGGCAATGACTTAATCCCTTTACATGAACAGACAAAACATCAACGACCCATCCTATTCTGAAAACGTGCAACCCGTGACAAGATGCAACTCAATGCATTTACAGAAGGGAAAAATATGGGTTGTTTTAGCGACGTTTGTGACGTCAGGGTGTCATAAAAGGGTTGTAAATTTACTTGATGGGGTTACATATGTTCATTTTACGGAAAATCAATGTAAAGTTTGCCAAAGTGTGCCGCCCGATTTGCCTTCAAATGTAGCATACGTAGGAATGACGGCTTATTTACAATGAGAAAGACTATGAGAAAAGAGAGAAGCTAATATGGATCCTGGTGGTATCGAAGCGTGCGATCACAACGATTGATCGCCATCGTTCTTAGTTTTACACTTCTGAAACTATACCGTTGTAACTGATGACGTTGTACTGTTACATGTCCTTAATTACAGCAACATCCAATAATCTAATCGATAGAATGCAAAAGTTGCGGCAGGGTTCACGTGGTAGTTCGTGTTTTTTTTAGTGCTGAATTTCTTGGCGTGAAATGCAATCTTCCTCAACACTGACAGGGATATTGCCACGTTCCTGTAATCTCGTCCTTTGGAAATGTAAACAAGTGAAAATGCGGAGACGTGAAATTTGACAATTTTCGCATCTTCCCTCGCATCTTCCCTCGTCGAGATTGCTGACATGCAACAATTGGAAATATCGCTTATAAAGTCGGGTAAGTCTGCTTTTAAGACCAAGATTCATTGCCGAATACCAGGAATGTAAAATAGGCACGTGTGTTGTGACCACAATTATGTCCAATGCAATTCCCTATTATGATGGGCGCCATATGTTCCTCATCTTTTTTCAGGTGAACAATTGACTTGCCCTGTGAGGGGTGTTTGTAAGGGGTGTACCGGTAGGGCAGGATACGTTCACCTTTCGCGACTACCTAGGACCATCACTATTTCATAGTGATTCACACATGCTCATGATATAGTCTCAATCGTACAATCCGAGATTTCGTTTGATATTTCGACAGGATTCCAGATATATCACGACGTGTCAGCTTGATGTGAGAGGAAATGAAATCAAAGCGACAAAACCATTTCCATAAACATTATAAAAAAGGGGACAAATTTCCATGTTCATAAGAAATCTTTGGCAAAAGCAGGGTCGATTGTACGATTCCGACAACATCATGAGCATTTGTTTATGGTGGCATTCATCCTTCTTGTCCTTCGTCTTGTGGATAGCGATGAGTTAGAAGTTTACCACTTTATTCAATATATGAAATACCCAGAGTTATGCGTCCGATACTGTCTTGATTTAGTTGGTTATACATTGCAATATATTTATAACATAACAAGAGTCGAAAAAAATTGTAGCAGCATATATAGGATACAATTATATAAACTCAATGCGGTCGGCAAAACGAATATTGATTGTATTAACATGCATCCTAGTTATGAATTGATAACATGATTATACGAATCTAAATGTAAATAACTTGCATCAATGAAATGAAATGTTAGATTACTTCTGTCTGTTAGGGGGGAAGTAATACATAAAAGTATGTTTGCTGTAATTTCACCTCAAATTCAGTGACTATAACGCGCATGAAATGATTCAAACAATATATAGCAAGAGAGCTTCCATTAAAACTAATTGATTGGTTTTCAAAGACTTCACGCGAGGCTGTAAAGGTAATTATAATCTATTTGTCACTGTTCTTATTTGAAAAGACACAAACTGGTTTGCATAGTCTTTAGCGGGACAGTGGCCCAGTGGTTAAATCGCTTATGTCACGCCGAGAACCCGGGTTCTACTCTCACATCGGTTCAATTCATTCCTGGTCGCTTTGTTGCTTGGGAAATGCTTTCATCTGCGTAAAACTCGCTTAGTCACTTTCTGATATAATTTACTTTGGAAAAAAGCCAGTGTAGTACGTTTCACTCCGCATCGTCACGTCAATGCACTTTGTAAGTAAAAATAAGTTGGGAAACTCACTGACTAAAAGATACAAAGAAGACACGCAAGGGCTACTTCTTGCAACCACGTGAAGAGGAAAGAAGTAGCTCTCTGAAACGTCGGGGAAAACAAGGAAGTTGGTATTCAAACATTCCACTACTTCATGTTTTACAACGAAAGTTTTTTTAAAAGATACAAATGGCGTAACTTACTCAAAGAATCATTAGGTACACACAAGCGTTGGCGTAGGTAGTTTAGAAACACTGGTTAAATGTTGCATGTTCTTAATATACATTATTAGCGAAGTTTCATTTTCAGATAAACTGGCAGCAACACATGAAATTGTTCAAAATTATTTCTAATAATAATTTAGTTTACAACAATAGCACATGACTTCGAAGTGTTGTGAATAAAAGTGTTCATGGACTCGATCCGTTCTGTTATTTAGTAGGGTTGATATGGTAATAAATTTATCCCCAGTGTTTCTGGTCCAGCATAGGTCCAAACTCCCCATGATTGTCACGAGAGACGGCTAAACCGAGGATCAGGAGGTCACTGTGGCTGACCTACCCTGTGTGGATCGCTGATCATGCTGATATCCAGTGGTTTGCTTGAACAGTCTCAGCCATTTACATTCCACTGTATTATAGTTGGAATATTGCGGTAAACCCAGTCGCTAACCGAGGTTGACATTTGTCACTAATCATAGTGACCAACGACATAGTTACATCTATATCTTCAAATGTTCTGGACATTTTGCAAGCATGAAAGCAAGTGACATCTGAAGTTAACTGAGAAGACAATATTGAAATGCTTTACTTCCTCATAGATAACATCAATGTGAAATTTGGGCATATGACATTTTTGCAAGAAGTAGGCATCCCTATGGACACCAATTGTGCCTCCTGCTGATATATGTGCATTAGAGTCAACGTTATTCGGTATTGTCAAATCACGGTCAATTTGGTCAATAACTGTAACTTAAGCTTCAGGCGTATCGATGATCTGGTATCGTTCAATAATGGTTAAATAGCCAGTACTCTTCCACCGATTGAACCATCTGAGCTAGATAAAAAGGGGACCAGTGAGACCGCCTCATCTGTTTCATATTTATATCTATGCATAATGATTCAGAGTGACAAAACAACCATAGGACAAGAAGGATGACTGCAACCAGCGTTTTGTCAGGTGAACAATTGACTTGCACGTTCATGTGTTTGTGACGGGGCCACCGGCGAGACATACGCTCACCTTTTCGCGAACACCTATCATCACAATTTAATAGGGATTCATTAACCCGTGCCTATCATCACAATTTAATAGGGATTCATAAACCCGTGCCTATCATCACAATTTAATAGGGATTCATAAACCCGTGCCTATCATCACAATTTAATAGGGATTCATAAACCCGTGCCTATCATCACAATTAAATAGGGATTCATAAACCCGTGCCTATCATCACAATTAAATAGGGATTCATAAACCGGTGCCTATCATCACAATTTAATAGGGATTCATAAACCCGTGCCTATCATCACAATTAAATAGGGATTCATAAACCAGTGCTTATCATACGGAATCGTACAATGGACTTTGTTATGATTATGGAAAGGGTTTTGTCGCTTTTATTTGCAGTTCACGACTATTTCCATATCAGAAATACCTACTTTGAATCTGTGCTAAAACTGTTTTCCCATGATGAGTATGTTCTCTTGCCATATCCGTGTGCCACTCTGTCTGCTGAGTTGGCTCGGAACCCTCTTTTCTGCCTGCTGTGGGTGTTGTGAGGAAGGGAGGCGACAACGGCTACCAGCAGCAATCCTAGCATTAATAACGTTGTTCTCATCATTGTGGAAAATCTGAAACAAAGACGTGATTACTTTGAAGGGTGTACATGTACATGCTATTGGTTTAAATGAGTATGGTCCACGGTGTGTTGATCCTTCGATGAAGTGCTAAAACATAACTAAACGTCCTCATTACTTTTGTACTAAGAACAAGTAATCAAACACAAACATACTGTACCTCACTGTAACCTGTTCATGGGCCCTGGTTCTTTACGGCATAGACGTCAGAGCGTTGCTAGAAATGCCTTATGTGAAACTTGACAATGCTTCTTTATAATTGTGTTCATCGTTAACTGCAATTTTGATATACAATATGAAATTTGAGTTAACCCACAAAAAAGTGACTGAAATCGTAACTGCCCAGCCTTCCATGTGATTAAGCGTAGTCTATGTCTACGACTCATTGAATTACAGTTCAGTAACACCAAGGCGAGCGCATGTCACTTTCATGTGGGAAGAAAGCCCAAGATGATGCAGTTCGTAGGCGTATACGATGTTGGTGAATCCTACCAGCAGCGTTAGGGTGCTGTTTGGGCAAGGGTTAGAAGTGAGTGAGTGAGTGAGTGAGTGGGGTTTAATGCTGCTTTTAACAGTATTAAAGTTATATCGCGGCGTGTCAGCTTAATGTGGGAGGAAAGCCCGAAAGGTTTCAGACGTTTACCACTTCGGTGAAGCCCACGAGCACGGGTATGGTGCTGACAAACCTAGAAACATAATCGGGGCGAACCGGGATTCGAACCCACAATCATAGGTTCCTGGCGTGCCCAAGGGACGCAGCTCTGTACAGCGAATCGCGGCGCCTTAGACGACTGGGCCACCCGTGCACCCGGGTTAGAAGTGAAAAACTGATAATGTCATTTATTCTCCATATAACTACGGTAATCTGTTTAAGCGATATGCAGACTCTGTGACCACCGCGTCTAAAACGCTGAGCTGTAGTGCTAAAGTAAAGTGATTTGTTTCATAAGAAGTACTTTCACTCCTCTCCTCTCTAGTTTTCAATTTATTCAATACAAACATGCAATCAACAAAACAAGGGGCACGCTTAATTACTTGAAAGCGGTCAGCTGAAATATCAATTACTTGCCATTTTCACTGTACATCCTACACTTTTGCACTTCATATTGAAAATACAATCATCTTAAATAACCCTCATCAGCTATCCAATGAGGTATTGTTTTAAAGGGGATAATTACATAAATTATACATACAAATATATTAAAGCAACAAATATGAACGCATCACATCTATCTGGGTTATAAAAAAAAACATATAAAAGAATGATTGTATAATAACAAGTTAAATTGAAAAGGTGACTTGTCATGACTGCAAGATGTTATCCGTTTGGAATATTTTACATGTATACTTTATATCCCTGCGTTTGACGCCTTCGCTTCGCCTTCGCAAGAGCTACGCGTATCAGTGAAACTAGGCCTACAATATCGCCGCAAGACGCTTCTACAGTAAATGCTAGAAGGGACTTGACACGTGTTCTTGTCTTCATTATTAAATACTAATTTGCATTTTTATTGACTTTGTTTGACAACATGTAAATAGAAGTATACTCGAATTTATAGGTAATTGCCAAAAAAACGGGACCAATGACACGATTTCACAATTGCCATACGTTGCGAGAAGACAATAGTTCTTACTAAACACACATGCTGATTTCCATTGATGTGGACGACGTTATAAAAAGACGGCGTTTTATCAACGCGGAGATTTAGTATTTTGAAGCTACATTTAGAAGAAGTGGTTGGAGGTGTCGTTGGCGCCCACGTTGCCTCTGTTCTTGAAGACCATAATCGTGGCTTAACACTGATTTCATTATGAAGTTTTGAAGTATTTGTGAAGGCACATATAGTTCTGGTTGTTTATGTGTGGGAGATATAAGACGTGCAATGGTGACATGCCTGCATATATTGAACTGAGCAGCCACAGTGCAGACTATATTGACATTGTAAACTCTTTTGAGCAGAGAAGCCATAGGAAACACGATGTTGTTTTCTGTTTTGGAAGCACGTATGAAATATATACATTTTGTCAAGCCTGTCAGTATTGTCCTTGGTTAAATAAGTAACTTGTCTATTCGCGAAGACCCGGTGTCATCACTGACTTTCAGCGATCCATTCATATTTCCATTTCGATCATTCATGTTCATCTGTCAAACATTCATCTTATCAAGATTATTCCATGGTGGTCACAATTTATAGTTTCGTCGTGGTGTTTAGATTACAAATGTTACGTTCCAGGACATCACCAATTACAAAATTAGGATCGCCCTTCTATTTTCTAATGGTATATATTTAGAGGAGTAGCGAGGTAGCCTGGTAGTTAAGGCGTTTACGCCTTATGCCAAACCCGGATTCTGTTCCCCATATAAAATACAGTGAGTGAGTGAGTGAGTGAGTGAGTGAGTGAGTGAGTGAGTGGAGTGAGTGAGTGAGTGAGTGAGTGAGTGAGTGAGTGAGTGAGTGAGTGAGTGAGTGAGTGAGTGAGTGAGTGAGTGAGTGAGTGGGTGGGTGGGTGGGTGGGTGGGTGGGTGGGAGGGTGGGTGAGTGAGTGAGTGAGTGAGTGAGTGAGTGAGTGAGTGAGTGAGTTGTCTTTTACGCCGCTTCGAACAGCTTTCCAGTGATGCAGGTCTAAGATATTTACCACTTTGGTTAAAACCACGAGCACGGGTATGGTGCTGCCAAATCTAGAAACACTATCGGGGGGAACGTAATTCGAACCCATATGAGTACAATGGTTAAACCAAATTTATGGTGCTCCATCGCTGTGTTATTGCTTGAATATTGCTAAAGGTAGCGTAGAACAGTGCTCACTCATGCAACATGATTACAATTGTGAACAAGACAAACTCTAATTAAAATCTTGATTACGTGATAAAGCTGTATTCTAACACTGAGGTTGTCGAACGTACACATACAAAACCAAGCATTCAAGTAATTTACTCGCATGTCCTTCACGCGAACAAGACACACCACTGTTTTATTCGTCCCCTTTGGCAAATATAACATCACAATTACCAGTTTGTCCTATCACGTCTAGGGGGTGATAATTATCACTAACGTGCTTGCCCATTTAATCTTCACTACCTATAAGAGTGGATGCTTCCAACGAGGCAGACTGCAGACACCATCGAGTGTATTTAACTCGACTCCCATCATTTAACGGAAGCGGGTTGTATACTCAGATGCGCCATGATCAGAGCTGGTGTGTTTATGAAATGTGCAAATGATGACCATCGCCCGGAGGCACAGACAAGACCAATGGTCTGGGGTCAAAGGGTACTGGAGCTGGGATGTTGCTATGGCTTCACGAAGCCTCCAAGAGATTAACCTTACATCTGGTTTCCGAGGCTCACAAACACCGGGGTTGTCCTTACACAAACACATTCTTAACACCCACACCCACAGCGTACAGTGGGTATTTGATTTTTGCCCTCCGTAATTGGGGTTTGAGATTTGAATGTAGAGGGGTAGGAAAATATTTAGGAGGGGAAGGGAACCGTTTCAAGGTACAAATGGGTTGTCAATTTAAAGTACATTTAAAGTACTGAAAACGTATTTTTGTATATCGTGGTACTTATGCGAGAAAAACAAACAAATATAGAAGAACAAGTTTGCAGCATACTAAAAAAGCACACAGGATAGAACATGTGAGGTGAGGTGAAATGGAGTTTAACGTCGCGTTGAAGATTTTTGCATGCCCCTTAATGCTGAGCGCCAGGCAGAGTACCAACAAGTTTTAACATCTTTTAGTATGACGTTGCCGGGGATCGAACCCCGACCTTCCGCTCTCCGGGCGGGCTCACTACCCCAAGACCACGGAAGTCTTGAAACAGAAACAGATTGGGGTCATTCACCATCTTTGTTGAAAGAAAAATGTACTACACAAAGCAAGTACTGGACAGGTAATCACAAGTTGTCAATGTAATATTCATCTACTTCAGAATTTACGTTTCTTTAATGACAAAACCCCATCATAGCCGATTGAGTATAAAGTATGTATTTCCCAATTTGTACGTTAACAGTGTGCTTTTATTGTAGTGACTGCAACAAGGATAAAATCTGCACGAACACGTCTCAGAGATAAGCAACCGCAACAGTCATGTCTCCTTGCAAAGGCGAGGGTATTTTTAACGACACAACGATGAGACTTCGCATTTCGGTAGCAGAAACGATTCCCTCCTTCCATAAGAAAGCTTACCATATCCTTGCCTGGGGGTGTCAACGACTTTTCACAGAATTGAAGGATCGTGTTAGTGCCTGTCGAACCAGTATTTTTGGGAATGAAGTGTAAAATAACGCCATCATCAAACGTTGTATTTGTCTAGTATCTGTTAAGATCCCCAGACGTTTCTAAATGAGGGTTTTAGATTACGACAGGTAATGTGGTGGACGTGAATTCAGACTACTCAAGTTTGGGTCAGCTACCTTGTTCTAGAGTGTTATAACACGCCTAAAAGTGTCCAGACAATTATATATACAGACTTCTGCAACATAATCATTTGAAATATATCCTTCATACAGTTATTCAGGTTACTACTTTCAAGGTCTCAGCAAAACTTTCAAAACGTTTTATGGTAGACGTGGAAGACATTTCCAAATTTGAAGCATCAGTGACAAAAATGATGTCCGATGCAATTCCTTATTTTGACTTGTGCCATATGTTTCCGTGTTTTTTTTATTTAGACTAATACTGTCTAAGAAGAATACTGTACGGTCTGGGCGCAGATACTTAAATGTTGACTGTATATATTATTCAGTGGGACTTAGTCAACGAACGCGGTGCATAACGGTTAACTGGATACTAAAGTTCACCAATGGATTTATCCTTGTATTTCTCACAGTCCTGATTTATGAAGTCAGAGTTGGCGTATGAATAGTGTCTATATTTGTCTATGCGACGTTTCGGTTCTCATTTATCACGCTAGGTACCAGAGCCTGTACCGAAACGAAATTAACGAATTAAAAAGGTTGAGATTAATAAGTCAACTCAGTCTTCAT